GGTCTTTTTTATTTGCTAGCAATGCTGGGGAAATAATCTTCAGAAACTAGCTCAGCATTTTGTAAATTAAGTTTTCAATATTCAGATCATTTTTTTAAATGCATGCACGAGGAGAAAATCCTGAAAAGGAATACTATCAACTGTCTGACACACTGTTGCACGAACCTTTTCCAGTGTGAGTATAATCAGAAATGTGATTTACTTTAGATGTACTAAACACTAAAGTGACCGTTCGATACTGGAACACTTTATGATGCGTTTTACATCGTGTTTGGTAATTCAGCCATCAGGACTCTTCTTTCACTGGCACCCTTTTCACGACACCATAACTAATGTTAGTGATTACGAGAGAGAATAATCGCATTGAGCGTGAAGTCAATATTGGTTGTAATCACAGTCATAAAGTTACATTGTTCTGTTGTGTTAAAGTGGCTGTAGTAATTCAGACATTACAGATCAGTGTATTGATCTGTGTCTGTTAAGGCTGATTGAGCATAATAGACACTAATATAAATTTACTTTATGACCCGCACACATTCAGACACACACAGTAACAGCAGAAGTCCAAAAGGGCAGGTGGTTTTGGAGGTTGGATGGGTCAAACTCTGACGTTTGACGAAGCAGACTGCTGTTTGTGTCCTGTGTGAAACCAAGTCAACGTTGAAATATTTTAACCTGGTTTTGCGACGTTACTAACCAAGTAGTTTCAAACCTAAAAACTTAGTAAACCTACGTGGAGGTTTATTTTGGAAAGAGATTGTATGCATGCAATGAGCAGAAACTGTCACGTCCAAAACTAATCATAATCTTGTTGCCAAAAGCTGTTTTGGAGTCTTTGTCATGCCAGGCTTAATATCTAGGATCTTAAACGTTGAGTAAAAATAGTTTGGACCTCTGCAAACAGCCAGCTAATTATGTGTGTGTGTGTGTGTGTTTGTGTGTGTGTAAGAGGGAGGAAAGATTGACAGGTGAGGCTTTGACCTCAGCGTGTAGGCTGCAGCAAAGACATATATGATAACATCACTCTCGTTCCCGCTCACACGCTCACACACACACAAGCACGCACAAACACAAGCGATAACATCTCCCTGGTGGGCTGCCTCTAAAGAGTCTCCTCCATCACTGACTGCAGAGGCCCATTTATTGCAGCGGAGACACCACTGCATCGAAATCACACACACACACACATACTTGCAGACATCTTAGCATGTGCAGCACATGCTGACTGAAGAATACACTAGTAGCACACACACACACGTATGGGCATGTATGCGCGCACATAGAACACACACATTCGGGGAACATGGATCTTTCCTGCAGCAGCACGGCAGCGGTCACTGCAGCCTATCTCAAATTAAAAAGGAGAAAATAGAGCTGAATGGGCATTTTGTAATAGAAACATTGTTTGTCGCAAACGTTGTTGGACTAGTCCTTGAGCTCTTTTTTACTGTGACTGCAAAAACAAAATGTGATTTTTTTATTTTTTTTTACTCAAGCAGGCTTTTCCCGAATAATTAATCTGCAGGGCAGCACGCTTCCTGTATAATGTGGGCTTTGCGGCTAAATCTGTACTAGACTCTAGACATATGATGACTTTTGTATTTTAATAGGAATAGGAATATATGGGAATATAAGAAGGTAGTGTAAAAACAAACCTTAAAATGAAGCATAGATTCAAGACTAACTACTACTTTTGAAGAAGAACGTTGACACTGGATGATCCCCATTAGAGACATTGACTGATGATCTTGTCTTAGATATCCTTAGAGCTCCCACGGAGAAAAGAGTCTGAATGACATCCAATAATGTATGTCGAGACATATGTGTGTCTTCAACCAGTTTATTTAACCTATACATCCTGTATCATTAACTCTGTGGATCTATACAGCTTTAGATTATGAAGCAAACATAAAAAATACACTTCAACGGCGACGCGATGACAATGTAGCTGGCAAAGCTTTCTCTTTTTGTTGCTTTTGATGCTTGTAGTGTGAACATATACTATCTTTGCAATATTTAGTGTTGGTCCGTTTGCACCAATTTCTCTCCTTGTCAGAAGGCACATATTTGTTTTTTGACCACTTCAAATCCAAGAGCATCTACAATTTGTTTTTTAGAGCGCAGCCTTGGCCAGAAGTGGTGTAAAATAAGCTGGGAAAAAAACAGCCAAAATATAAAACATAGCTGTGGACTTCTAAATGATGTTTTTAGTGTTTATCTTGGCTTAAGTCAGTCCGGTCACTGCTTTATTAAGGCAGAGAGATGTAGACCAGGGTTGAACGGAGTGAGCAGGGGAATAACTGACAGGGAAATTACAGTGGGAAATTATTGTTATTTCACAATTAAATTATATATACTGGGTGGAATCACCCCTGACAGGGCTGACCATAGCAGCACTGCTAATGTGTGTGTGTGTGTGTGTGTGTGTGTATGTGTGTGTGTGTGTGTGTGTGTGTGTGTGTGTGTGTGTGTGTGTGTGTGTGTGAGAGAGTGAGTGTGAAACTTTATCCATCTACCAAGGCCACTGAGGCTATACTGGCAGGGAGGGAAACGTAGAAAGAGATTCGGAAGGAGAGAGAATTAAAGAGAAAGAAGTCGTAACATCAACAGAGTGAAGCAAAAACAGTCTATTTTAAGGCTGAGTGGGTGTTAGTAAAAACACAGCAAGCCCCCGGTAATGAGCTGTTTTTGAACAGTTGTGACGACAGTGCGTAGAAACAGACCTTCCTTGATTTTTATCGGTGAAATCCAAACCCTCACCGTGGTCACACTGTGTGTTTAGGCACAAACATATTGCAGATGCTGTAAAAAAAAAAATGAAAATCCTCTCATCTTGAATTTGGGCCATTTTTCAGAGAGAAAGCCGACCTTGTCCTTGTCTGAACGCAGTAAAAACACATTGTCAACCGTGAAAAATGAATGGGTTTCCGTTTTAAAGAATGGCCGCTCAGTCTTTATTCGTCCTGAAACAATGACTCTTTGAATACACAAGGTTTCTGGTGATATGTAAAGTAAACTAGCTCTATTTTCTATCCAGTGAAATTAATGATCCATGGAACTTAGGCAAAAACAAAGCAAATGGTTGCACTGGCTCGTGTTGATGTTGGCTCCCACAAGCCACCAGAAAAAATATACTGCAGTATACATTTTAGAAATCCCTGGATTGTAAAACAAAACAATAATACAAAGATTTGGCTGAAATGGATTTTAAAATTGTAATTTGCAGCAAAAGTGTTTCCACATTTATTTATTTTTTTCTGGCACAAGATATGTAGTTTATTTGCATTATCTCCCAATGCTTTGCTCCACTTTCAAACACTAGAAATAATTTCTTGATATTGACATGAAAATGTTGCAAGACGACCAAACTAATCTGCTCCTTTTTGTAAAAAAACATCCAAGATCACTTGTTAAAAGCCAAAAAGACTGAGCCTCATGTAGCCTGCAGTACCTCTACGGATAATAACTAAAGCGTTTGTTCAGTTTTTCACCTAGTGTTCACTGCATTGTGACCACATAATATAAGCTGTATGTCTTTGTACAGTCTTGTGTTTTGCTGTATTGCATTTTTTTATGTGGACTGCACTACTTCAGTCACGAGAGACCTGCTTGTGTTCTAATTTCCCCCCATCGAGTGTTCTGTGTACGCTGCTTTACCGGCTTGTACGAGTCTGCCAATGCAATCGGATCCCCCTGTGGAAGGCTTTGATGGAATGGCTGTCTTCTCTGCATTTCTTTTCAATGCTCTGATTTCTGTCCCCATCTCTGTACATGGAGATCACAGAGGATCAATAGGTGTTGAGTTTCTTCAACACACGGAGTGGGATTGCTCGTGTGTGTTTGTGTTTGGTCGCAATGACAGTCCGCCTTGTTTTTCATTCCGGTTTGGGTCGATACTACATATGAGGCAGAGTGTAGTTTATGAGGGAGCTAATAGTCAGAGATAGCAGTGACCTGCTTATGAGTTAGAGATGGAAGAAACACAGATCAAGGGGATGGGTGCGTGTTCATATATGTGTGTGTGCGTGTGTGTGTGTGTGTGTGTGTGTGTTTGCGTATCAATAAATAATGAGTTAGAACTCTGTGCGATGACTTGGCACAAAAGTGGAACCCTGAACAGAAGGTCAGAATTCGCAAATGCAGTGTTTTGCAGTTTTGATGATGTTTGAAATAGTACCAGAGACGTTTGTATGATTTCATTTCAAATCAAGTGATTTATATTTATACAACCCAGATTAACATATTTGTCTTTGCGAGTTTTACAAGATCTGCATCATGTACTGTATACCCCTCGATTCTGAGACCCTCGAGTCAGATAAAGAGCAGCTTTACTTTAAGGGGAATATTATATAATACACTAATAGAGAACACCATGACATTTGCCTTGTTGATTAATTACATTCAGGCAATTGTTTGTTTTTTTCCAGTTATCTCAAATTATATATGGAAATACATTTCCAGAACAGAAATGTTTTTGTTTTTTTATAACTCCAAATATCTGAAAATATTGTCAAAAAATCTACTTAGCCACTTATCATATTTGGTTTAATATTTGTATTGTTCTATGAGTGATTTTTCAGATTGTTTAATATAAATCATTTTCTAGAACCTAAAGTGGTGGATACAACTGTCCAATATTATAATCTATTATAGAAAAGCCTTAATATCCTGTTTTGCTGTAATATGTTTTAGATTCTTTGCTTTTCTATTAGCCACCTCAGGATCGTTTGTTTTAAAGTATGACTTTAAAACAAAAATCCCCAAAGTTGGAGATTGGCGAGGTCAGGGATAAGGTGACGAACTCGAACCTGCGTTCCGGACAGAATTTAATACAACTTGCGTCAGAGTTTTAAACCGCCAGACCAAAACGTGGCACCAGGATCTTATTTTTCTAACAATCTGTTTTTCTCTTTCTCCCCCTCTCTCCTCTCTCTCTCTCTCTCTCTCTCTCTCTCTCTCTCTCTCTCTCTCTCGCTCTCTCTCTCTGTTTCTCCATCCAGCACCCTCAACAACAACAACATCACCCTCATCCCCCTGTCCAGCTTCAACCACATGCCCAAGCTGCGGACACTGTGAGTATAACACACAATCAGACAGACACACACTCAGAGAAAACTGCTAACATATACCACAGACGCTCACACACGTGCACTCTGTGGTTGCACATTAACACATACACACATGCACAGAGATGTATTAGTGCCTACTTTCATGCGAACCGAGTACATTCACTGCGCACACAAAACTACGCACATCACTTTCATACACAAACGCCACAAACACACACACGCACACACACACACACACAGCATGGCAGCAGGGTCTGTATGCCATCATCTAATCATGCCATAATAAGAGACCAACTCTTCCATTGTTTCATGCCTGTGAATAATTATGTGGCCGTTACTTACACACACACACACACACACAGATGGATACAGTGACCAATATGTGCATGCACCACAAACACACTTGAGAAATGGTAACCTCATTAATGCCGCAAGAAAGAGTTGTTTAGGCTCTATAGTTCAATCTGCTTTGATTAATTCCAACACTGACGTGAGCTCAGACACTGAGAAACACACACACACACAGTTATGATCCAACATGTACCCCAGGCCAAATCATTCTTTCTGATTGATAATAGGGGGGGTTTCATCATGTATGTCTTTTTTCTGTATTTAGTTGTGTGAGGGAGAGAGTTGCCAAGGCAATGGCACGACATCTCAAGGGGGACTACCCATAATCCCGTGGGATTGTCTGAGAGGCAGACCATTGGTTAAATTCCTGCTGGCCACACTGGGGTTGATTTCTGCCAAACCAGCACGCAGAGAATGGGATTTCCTCCCCAAATCATCATTTGTAATAGGCCCTTGTGTGGTCACTCGACCCTACTTAAAAAATGGGGATTTCTAAATACAAGCAGGATAACAATCGCAGAAGTCCATTAGTCTTTTACGACCATTCTCTCCGTTCAACTTTTGAACGGCAGCATCCCTCAACAGCCAATCACATGGCAGGGCTTCTTTATTTCCTGCACACTGCTGCAACTCGAGTGGCAATATGGCTCCAGATCAGCCTTTGAAAATTGGATTCTGGCAGTTGCCAGCAAATTGAATACAGAGTTACCAATATCCAGTATCTTTTAATCAGAAGCCCTTGTGTGCTTCTGTTTTCTGTCAAAACTGAGTGAGTGTTACCTCTGATTCCCTCGTTCGTCTCCTTCCTTTTGTCTCTCGTCATCCTTGCGTTATGTGTGCATCCCATTTGAATTTGTTTCTCTTGTTTTTCTTCCTTATTTTTCACTTCTTCCTCACTTACAATCTCTATTCTCTTTTCAGCGTCTCCTATCATGCATTCTCTGTTTTCCCCATCATACCACTCTTTCTTTCTTTTCATTTTTCTCTGATATCCATCACTCAGTTTCCTTTGTGTTCTCCTTCCTTCTACCTTCATGCCCTTGTGTTGCTTCCTCTTTCTACTTCTTCACATGACTCCCTCTGTTTCCTCCTGTTCTCCTGTGTGGTCCCCTTTCTCCTCCTCCTCCTTTTGTTTCTACTCTTCATGTGTGTCCTCCTCTCCTCTTCCCTATCTCCTTTACATCTGTCCGCCCCCTTCATCTTCGCCCCTTCTGCCAAACTCTTCATCCCCGACCTCCTCCTATTTGCTTCCTCCTCAGTTTTACATTTTGTGTCCTTTCTTTTTTTAGCAGGGAAGTTTGAGAAGTGTGTTTGTGTTTGTGTGTGTGTAGAAACTTCTTTGTAACTGAATTAGCTTACCTCTCCTGCCACTTTAATATGTGCTGCTTTTATATATGTTCAGTTCATTTTATTCTTTTATCTGATTCCCTGTCTGTCCATTTATCTATCTCTCTGTCTTCCTCTTCCTCCCTTTTCTCTTGTTTTCTGCAGTATCTGTCTATTCTATTAGCAGCAATGATATCACCTCATGGTGTGTCTCATTCAGAAACTTGAACCAACGACAAGATTATAAATCCCACTGCTTCTCCCCTGTGTGTGTGTGTGTGTGTGTGTGTGTGTGTGTGTGTGTGTGTGTGT